AATCCATCGAGAAACAAAGGTATCCTAAAATTAGTCACGGATCTCATGAAAATGACTCTACTAGCAGGTATTTAAACGTTTGTATGATACACTAAACATTTCGTGAGAGAGTTGTTCCAGTTTGGTTTTTTCTTGATTGCTTGTCGTCGGATACGCTACTAAACATTTAAAACATATTTTAAGGGGAATTCTTTTGTCGTCTGAGGTTCTCCTTAACATTGTCAGTATTTTTATTATGGAACTGTTTTCACCCTCTTCATTGTCTTATGTTCCCCATGGAACCCTTTCACCAGGATTTTTAAAGAATGGTGAAATTTCAGAAAATGTCCTCAAAATTTTAAGGGTGGTGCACAAAATTCAAAAGGGTGGATACTAACAATTGCTATTTTAGTACATAGCAAGTGACACGCTAAGTCTGTTTATTGACCTTGCATTTGCATTAATATTTTTTTGAAGCGTGGTTCCAATATTTTAAGCATGGCGTATAATTTGCCTTTTTAATATTTTTATTTAAATTACGTTGTTTCTGTAAGTATCCTACGTGAAAAGATATTTTTATCTGCCATTAAAGATCCTAGTTAATCGTTTTTCATATTATTAATTTATTTACATATAATCTTGTTATAATAATGATTTACTATAAATATTGTTTAACATTTACGGAAATAAATGTTGTTTTGGAGGCACTTTACACATATACATATAGCCCCCCTAACCAAAACTTCTGGATCCGCCCCTGTACACAAACAATTAAAAAAACACACATCAGTATAAGAAATTAACAGTGTAACAGACAACAATATGTTCAGAGCAGGTAAAGCAAAATAAGCGAAGATATGAACATTTTATGATTTTGGGAGTCATTTAACGGAGGGCCAAAAGCGCTGAATAAAGAAATATTTGAAGCAAGTCTAAAATAATTGAACAACGGTAGAACACAGGATATTAAGGCACGCCTGCAAAGTTATTTCAATAATCGATTATTTGTTACTTGTATAGCTTCAAATGGAGTAAAATAATAGGAATTTTCAATAACATCTTAGACATTTGATGTACTGCGAAATTTACGATATCAACCCTATTTCACATGGTGCCAGCTTAAGCCCTGTTCTTTTAATTTCTTATTTTGAACTCTGCAATATATCATTATGTCTACAGAAGTGCTATAGATGTGGACCCTATAACATTATATACACTAACTGCAATCAAAATAAGATAGCTATAACATTATACACTAACAATCTATTATATGATAGCAAGCATAAACATTATTCTGTATCACAAAAAACACACACAAAATAAATACAGAGCTAGACCTGCTACTGTTATCAGCCAATTTAAAATCAATGTTTAAAGAATACTCTTTATTTAACTGTCGAGAGTTGATGTGGATTCTTCCCGCATTCAAATTAACAACAATTAGATAAGATAACAAGTCACCTACGCATCATTACATTATTCTGTATCACAGAGAAACACCCAAAACAAATACAGAGCTAGGGTTGTTATTGATTATCAGCCAATTTAAAGATCAATGTTCAAAGAATACAGTTTTATTAACTGTCTAGAATTGATAGGATTCTAACTTTCATTTTAAGTTACTTAAATATATAAATTAAACTGTTAAAATGTGAAATTAAAATTTTGATATTTTGTTTACCTCAAGCCCTGTAGTACATCTTTAAGTGATGCAGAAAAGTTTAGAATGATGGCAAATGATAGAACAGAAATGTAAAATCTTGCACAAGTAATGAAATAATTCACACAACTTACCATTAATATTAGATATACATATCAGCAGCAGTAACACAAAATATACTAGCAAACACTGAAAAGAATTTGTTTCAAACTAGTCTTCAAAAGATTATGCATGACAAAAATGTATCAGATTAGATGTATATAGAATTAACAAATGTTCCTGTACTATAATCATTGAGCTATTATATTTTTATTGTATTCTTATTATATCTCTATGCCTACAGTACTGTAATCATGAAAAGTGCCATCAGAGAGGCCTACTTACACTATCTACTGACAACATTACCACCATCATGTCCGCAAATCACTTGGGCCTGCAAATATAAAAATGATCAAAATATGACAGAAGAATGCTTATAATCAGGTTGTTGTAAATAAATAAAGTAAAAGTTAATTTTAGTTCCATATTAAATCAAAATCTTTTAGGCAGGTGCTTAGAAAAAAAAAGTGTTTCTTTTCGACTAACTGCTCTAAAAACCCTAAACCCTATATTTTTTAACCCGTAATTTGCATAGTTAAGCTAAATTACATATGAACAGGGTGTTCACAATATTCGTGGCAAAGTTTTTTTTTCTTCGATTCACCATGTTTTAAGCCACAGGTGCGCAAAGTGCGGCCCGCCGGCCACGAAAAAGTGATTTAAAAGCAGTGCTTGGAGGATTTTAGAAGCACACTTGAAACTCAAGTTTGGGGGCGACCCTTGGTGTATAAATATCAAAAATTCACTTTGGCCCTCCGACCGATTTTTATGCTAAACTATAGATTTCAGACAAAATATAAGAACCCCCATATTTGATTTATCGTCATGATACTAATTTGAGTAAGGACTAAATGTTTGCAACAATTTACCGCCCAGGTGTGTGCACAGATCTGGGAAAAATATTAACACTCTTTTTTACGTGTCCTACCATCATATATACACTCCCCTGTGTCCTTCTTCAGCGATATAAGTGTAACGTTGAAGGACACATGCGTGTCCGAAATATTTGTCTTCAATGAATGTTATGTCTCTATTATGTCAACGTATGCAATCGTTTCATTTTCGTATTTCTTTACGTTTATGTATATAATATAATAATAATAATGGTCGACTTATTTCTTTACGTTTATGTATATAATATAATAATAATAATGGTCGACTTATAGAGCGCATATCACATCATCAAATAAATATTTTGTGTAATAAAATGCCTTACGGGATTCGAACATGCGAGCTCTCGCTGTCTATATAATAGGCCTAATAATAATAACTATAATAATAATAATAATAATAATAATAATAATAATAATAATAATCAGACAAAGATCACTGCATCTCCGATCGGGGACAGAGTACCTTATTTAAGTGTAGCCATTTTTATTTTTTGGTGTGATTATATGTTGTTGTTTACGAAACTGTGAGAAGGTTTTTAAAAGAAAAATGATAGGATCTTGAGTAGGCTGTTAAAACAGCCTATTCTGTTTTCTCCATTTGTTTTATAATTTTGAAAAAAAATTAGGGGGTTGGGGCCTTTGCTCCCCCTTGAATCCATCTCTGTTCAATATAACACTTGACATAGCCGGCCTATTATTTTGTTTCACAAATGACTAATTCCAAATGCCAAGCGAAAGATTTTTATTCGAAAATTTGTTTTTGTTCATTACAGTTTTTACAACCTATAACACGTCATTAACCACAGTGTCAATATAGTTTTTACAACCTATAACACATTAACCACAGTGTACTGCAAATCCTTAATTAACCTTCAGAGAACATTATTTTTCAAAATGGCCTAATTAAGTAATTAATTATTTTCGTTAAATTAGATGGAGTTTGAATGTTGCTATATTACGCTAGTTTGAAGGTTTACTGTAAGCCAATCAGTTATACTTACTGTACATCTTCATCCATTCTTCGAGGGTGGGTTTCAAGGAAACATTACAAGACGCGCGTATACAGACGTCAAATCAACATTTGTTTGCTCCCCCCCCCCCAAAAAAAAGAATCACGGTCATTATCTTTATCTGTTCAGGATTATAACAAGAATATGAAAACCTAAACCGTTCCTGCTGCGCCAAACCCATAGAACTCGGCCTCAGTTGCATACTCGCGGTCAGCAAACTTGATGTTTACCACTAAAACGAAAGCGAGCTAGACAACAACTCAAGCGCTTTGAGACTTCGGTATAAAGCGCTATATAAATCCAACCACATTACATTACAAAACGAATTTAACCACCTTCTTGAATAATATGAATATCCTTAAAATAGCTTATACTTACTTGTCAAAGAGTACTAAAAGCAACTTTAATTTCGATGAAGTTGAGTGTTCCCGGCATCCTGGCACTGCTATCCCTTTCAGCTGATTATTTCGTAGCTCTACGACCGAATTTTGCCGTTGTGTATTAGTAACAAGGACTTTAAACCCCCTAGAAATGTAATGGGTGTGAACAAATGCCTATGCTTTTTTCAAACTACATACGGGTCACCACTTCTATATGATTCGAACTCAATCTCTAATAAGCTAACGACATTAGGCGTAATGCATGCTTGATGTGAACCCACATCACAAACTGGCCCTACGTTATTGATATCAGATATTAAACTCAGGAGAGAGGTGTGGTGGAAATGCAATGCGATGGGGGGGGGGTGTCTATAAAACGAGGACCGGAAGGCCCATAAACGAAGATCCATATTTTTCTCTCTTATTTTGATAATAATACACCAGAAGGCCTGTCTGGGGGGGGGGTGTCTATAAAACGAGGACCGAAGGCCCATAAACGAAGATCCATATTTTTCTCTCTTATTTTGATAATAATACACCAGAAGGCTGTCACATAATCAAAATTACGAAATTTTCTGGGCGTCTGTTTTTGAAATTTTCAATGGTCTTCGTTTTATAGACACCGAAAAACAAAGACCTCCAATTATTTCTCAATTATCTTACTAAAAGTATTTCAAAATCATTATAAAACAAAATTACCGAAAAAATAGGGGTCTTCGTTTTTGGGTCTTCGGTCTTCGTTTTATAGGCACCGATGCGGCGGATGCTTTCGCAACCCATCCCTTATCACAAAAGGTCTACATTTATGGGTAGAAAAACAAAAAAGACCAGAGGCGTACCTAAATGAGAACGGGCTCCAGTGCAAAAACAATTGCCGGGCGCTGATTTGTGAAGCTCGGAGGCTAGGTACAAACGCCGGGGACCTCTGACTCTCTGTCGGGCAGATCCTTGCACCACCCCTGCAGAGTGAAATAAATCGATTTGTTTGCCGTCACGGTTTATGTTGTTTACCCTCTGTATGTTTTCAACTCTTTTTTTGTTTGATGAAAATCCAAAGGTTGCCTTCTACTGTCAGTCGAATGTTGTACTTCAGACCAGGAAACGCACATTGGTACAAGAAAACAGAAAACATCAATATAACTTTCAAAAGTCTTAAGTCTTGGTAGCAGGGGTGGCGCCAGGAATTCCCAGACGTGGGCGGGGGAACGATGTTCCCGACAAGTTGGCGTCATCGGGCGTCAGATTATAAAAAATAGATGAGCCGTACTAGTCTGATATGATAGAAAATGAATATAGCACGGGACAGTAAATTTTATTGACAAGACACTAGATTTCATGCACAGAGTGCCCTTAAGCAGGTAAATGTGAAGCTAAAAACATACGGTAATTAACCCAAATTAAACAATGTAGACTGGGTGGATAGACCTAAAGCAAGCTAATTATTTCAAGTTAAGACAGAAGGGCTAAGTCATAGCATGGACCAGGTCCATGGTCATAGGCAATAAACAGTTATCTCAATGAGAGGATAGGTCAGGGGTCAGATGTATTAACAAAGTCAGTGAATGTTACTAATAAGTAAAGGCTAGCTTAAAGTAGTAGGCCCTAAGTACTTATAGTATAAAAAATTAGAAGTATGAATATTGCCATTTTATCTCATTTAATACTTGAATTATATAACCATAGGTTACACTTTTTGGTGGTATTAGAAGATGGCTCTATTATTGTTTAATAATTTTCCATTTGATAAAATACTGAGTCGTTTGGTGTCCAAATATGCCTTATTTCAAATTGTTTTAGAGATTTTTAAATCAAACCAAATGTTGTTGTTTTTGTTGCTGTTATTATTATTATTATTATTATTATTATTATTATTACTATTATTATTTACTCTTCCCAGCAGTAGCTGAAGAAGCCATTGTTTTTCTTCTGATTTTTTCCCTTACATATCGTTTTTCCTATCTTTTTGGACTGTTTTTTTTTCCGTCCGACACTTTAGTCACTTTCTATGTTTCAAACTCTGTCCAAGCATACATCTATCAATGATGTGCCTCCTAAAATTCCGTTACAAATTGGAGTGGGTGAGGATGTAAGGACCAATTAAAAGATTTTAAGGGCAAACACCCAACACCAGATATTTTAAAGACGGCTTAACTGATTTGAATGAAACTTTCTGGAAGGTTTAAAACAAGTTAAAGAGAAACAATTAATAAGTTTGGTGACGATGTAGATTCGAGCGTCAATTTGATGGTTATTTAAAGTGATAATTTTCCAAAACTAAATATCTTTGATAGTTTGTCACTGTCCAACGAAGAAAGGATTACATTTTGGTGGCGGTCTGTAATAGGGTGTGGATATGAGGACAATTTGAAGAATATTAATGGACTGTTGAACTATATAAACGGAAGTTGCGTTTACTAAAGCGTTTGAAACTAGCTGCAGCTACATTAAACTTAAATTACTTAGAAATGGATGAACAATTACTGAATTACGGTACCATAGAAAAATGAACTGACGTACGCAGGGTCGGCTCATAAATAGCACGCAATTGTTGTGTCTCCATATCACCATCGAAATTAAAATTGCAGCTATAATTCAAGTCTCTAACGTCTAGTTAGTTTTCAAGTTGGTTTTCATTATTTTTTTTACTTTTTTTGTTTTTCATGTTTTTTACTTTACACTTTTGAATGACTTTTTTGTTGCAATTTCAACAACAATTCCCATTATGTACAAACAGACATAGTAAGTTTTGTTTATTATTATTAGGCCTATTAAAAAAAATTGCATCATAGGTTTCATCGAAGCGATGGAGCTATGCACAAAAAAACTCCAAAAATTCTTAGTGTCCCTCTTCACAGGACTCGAAGAGGAAACTAAAGTCCACTCACATTATGACCAGGAAATAGAATGAATAAAAATACTGAACTCATTTGCTGTATAACGATGATCTATTGAATTTAGAATAATTTCGCTTTTAAATGACAATCTGTTTTAAATCATATCATTTAAAATAGATTGCCTTTTAAAAACGAAATTGTATTGTTAATATTACTACTTTCATTTTCGTATCAGATTTAGGGTATTAAATATCCTTCCTCTGTGCAAAAACCCTTTGTAATTTTAATGCATTCTTTTCACATTATTATTTAAATTTAAAGTGAATGTATATATTCCTAATGTATTAATTGAACTTCGAATGACACTTTCATACTTTAAATGTATTTTAATATTCCATAGGCCTATCTTGTACGGTGTATTGCAAATTTTGTGAGTTAATATTAAGCTCAAATATATTAGAATATAATAATTAGAAACTACGTAGATTATAATTGCCCATTTTCTTTACATACATATAGATCATAAACAGGCTGTTTCTGTAAAAAGAAAAATTATACCAAACGAAAGTATAATAAAATGCATTAGTAAAACAATACCAATAACGATAATAGATAAATTATATCTTCATACTAATTGGTAGTCACAAGAATATCATTACTGACATTAGTTCAATTTTAATTGGCTGGTCATCCTATCCAGGTAAATAAATCAGGCATAACTTGATTAATCATTGTTAGTCGAACAATACATGGAGGCCTATCTCACTCTCATACAGAGAATGCAGAAAGTATATGTAAGTACAAAAAATTACAGTATTCGAGTTTTTTTTTATGGAAATCGCCATATACAAGGCTAAGAGCCACACATGGTAAAGATTTTAAGTGTAATAACTATGGTGATGGACTTTATTTTGTATATTATCTTGTTTTTGGATTTATTCTCATCGTTTTAAAGGCTGTCATTTTTTAAAGATAAGCTTAAATAAATAGTATTATTAGGCCTATTAATCTATATATCTATATATCTCTTCATACTAATCGGTAATCACAAGAACATCGTTACTGATATTAGCTCAATTTTAATTGGCTGGTCATCCTATCTAGGTAAATAAATCAGGCGTAACTTGATTAATCATTGTTGGTCCATTTCCTCCATGGTTGGTCGAACATTACATGGAGGAATATCTCAATACACTTTTTTTATAACACATTTTATAAGAACACTGAGGCTGAAATTACTTAAAAATTAAGAACAAAATAAGAACAAATTGAAGCTAAGGTAAAATGTCAAATGAGGTTTTTATTATTTTTTTTTAAATAGGAAAACCAAACCAGAGCCTTGCAGGCGTCAACGTTCCTATGCATGATACATGACTAAAAGGTATATATA